TTAAGTATGAAAAGTAGGACATGTCTGGGAAAAAGAGGACATCTTGTCACCCTACCATATCAACAATTTCATGGTTCAGTGAGTGAGTGAGTGAGTGCTTGTTGCTATGATGCATCTTTGCTCAGCTGCTTAGCTCGTTGTAAACCAACCAATCAGCGCACAGCTCATCTAAATATTCATGAGCATACCATAAAAGGAAGAAAACCTGTCGTTTCATTCTTAGTCTTATAACCAGGCTTGCATTAGGGCTCAGAATAGCCATTTTCAGCCCAACCAATGTTACACACCCTATTCAGAGACCTTAAGGACCAGCACCAAATACCCTATATAATCATTCTATAACCCCTTTAAGATCTAAAGAGAAGCGCCATCTCCTGGTCAGACCCTGTTTTTCAGTGAAAGGGTGGAGTTAGAGGGGGAAAAAAATGCAAGCCCAGGAAAAGGCCAGTGGCTAGAAGTTGGAGGGAATTTTGCTGGTAGTCGCCGGGAAGTGGGCTGCAATTCAGTTGGCCTTTGACTGGGAAGGGCCATTCTGAATGGCTGCTACTGTATATCCCTCTTGTTCACCATGTGTATTTTTGACAGAATCGCTACCAGTTCAGCTTGTAAATCTAAGGCAATCACTACATGTGGTATTACAGGTGCCTTCAGCAGTGATTCTGCTTTGAGCAAAAAAAATGATAAAGGTTCTCTATAACAACTGTAAATCATCTATAGCTTTAACTCTGTTAATGAGACATGGTGTTGAGGGGTTGTGGTTGATTGTTAAGGTCCCTGCAGTAAAACCATTTGTCTTTTTGGTCTTTCAGGTGTCCAGTTATGGCGGGGGGCCTTTTTTCCATTGACAAAAAGTACTTCTATGAGCTCGGTGCCTATGACCCTGGTCTGGATGTGTGGGGTGGAGAGAACATGGAGATTTCATTTAAGGTAAACATCCTTTTTATATTGACTCCCTCCACTGTGGTCACACTATTTTTGTCGCTGTGGTGCCAGTTGCTGAACAGGCTTGCTGCTTTCAACAGATCTGGATGTGTGGAGGAGAGATTGAAATCATCCCCTGTTCTCGTGTGGGACACATTTTCCGAGGACAGAATCCCTACAAATTCCCAAAGGACCGGCAGAAGACAGTGGAGCGTAACCTGGCAAGAGTGGCTGAGGTTTGGCTGGATGAGTACAAAGACCTTTTTTATGGCCACGGGTACCAACACCTGCTGGATAAAAAGGTCATCAACATTGGTAACCTGATAGAGCAGATTGAGCTGAGGAAGAGACTCAAATGCAAAAGTTTCAAGTGGTACCTGGAGAACGTGTTTCCAGACATGGATACTCCTGTTGTCAAAGCTGAGGGCCTGGTATGTGCATGAGTTATGACAGAGTGCTGCTTTTATGCTTTTATCAGATATAAGTCATTATGCTGCTTTGCATCCAGGTGTTTTTTATTATTTTCCCCATTAAAACACCTTTCCAGTGCTGCAGTCTTATCTGTCTAAGCATTTGATTTATTTTCCAGGTCTTTAATCGTGGCTTGAGAAAATGCCTTGCACTGAAGAAAGATTCATTGTTCTTTGAGATCTGTGATCTTAGCAAAACGGTAAGTTCTGTTTTTCTTTAATCCGTATTTCACAACCAATTTTGAGAAATGTTTTCAGCTCTTGACTTTTAAGGGGGAAAAATAGTTTGTGGTCTTGACTTAAGAAAAAGCAAAACCAGACTTACACAAATGCATTTAGTCTGAAGTGGGACCAAAGCCATGACAAACAAGGGTGGGGATCAAGATGGAGGCTTTCTATATCTGATGATTTTGGATTCTGATCCCCCTCATTGAGGCATTTCTTAGTATCCAGAAGCCTTCATGGTGTGCAGCACTGTAATTATGCAACAATCACAGCTCTGTGCAAAGTATTCTTACCCTCCCAACCGTTTCATATATTTCACATCACAACAAACATCATTGTAATTTATTGGTATTTTAAGTGATAGAGCATAAAAGAATAATGCATGATCATGAAAGGGAAGAAAAAATATGCATGATTACCATACATTTGTGCTTAGCCTTCTTTACCTGGGGGGGGGGGGGGGGGGGGGGGTATTAAAAGGTAATAAAATAAATCTTAAAAAATAAAGTCCATCTGAGGCAATAAGTGTGACCCAAGAAGGTATTTTTAAATACCTGTTTAACTCTACCCAGCTGGCTCACAGGAGTCAGTTACAGGGACCCCCAGTTTCTCGGCTGCTCTTCACTTCAATGACGGGTGTTCAGTGAGTGAAGAAATGCGCCAAACTAAACTTCATTTCTCATATTTTTGTAAAACAAGAACAAAAACTTGCAATGATGCCATGGAGGTGTGGAAAATGAAGGTTTCTGTTGTGAGAAAAGTAGGAAGACCCTTAACCCCACACTGCTCCTCAGGCAATGGCAGCCCACTGCTCCCCAAGGGGATGGGTTAAATGCTGGGAGTTCATTTTGTTGCTCTGTACTTGTGACAGTTTAATGACAATTAAAAAAAGCTATAGCTTAAAAAATTAAAAAGAGGATAGAACTAAGAAAACTGGCCCTAAAGTGCTGCAACATTATATTGGACTTGGTTAAAACACTAACATAGCCTGTGCAGCACAAAACATTTAATTATTATTCCAACTTTTAGGAACCAAAGGAAGCCAAAACTTACTACATAAAAAAAATGCTTTGAGTTTTTACAAAGGATAAGGCAGCTTTAGCATATGTTTAAAAACAAGGTGGGGAAAAAAAGATGTCTGTTTATTTCCTGGTCCACAAATTTGAACTAGAAAGGACTGTAGTTCACATAGTCAAGCATTCTACACTCACTTTAAAACATCCTCATTGTAAAGGTTAGCAGATTAAAATGTTGACATCAGCAGTGCGCTTTTAAGTTTGTTTTTGTTTTATGTTTTACTTAAAAACTGTGGGCAGGTAATTGTCTCTAAAATGTAAAAAAAATTTTTTTTGACTAAACCAAAAAGAAGGCAAGTTTAAATGCAATATTTTATAGCACAACCTTATTCCAATACTATCATAATTTGGTTTGCCCCCTTTAAGCAAAATATATTTGTTAAATTGAGTTTGTTGCAGTGTTTCTAAATGTTATTAAAGTTATTAAAGATGCTAATATATCAGCATTGACATTGGCCACAGATTAGTATTTACTACATATTTTGGTGTAACACCGGTATCATAATATCACAGTACAGGTGAAGAAAAGTTGGCCCACTGATTTTAACAATTGCATGATCGGCGATTTGATAGCTGATGTGAACAAAATGTCCCCTTTTTTTCTTAATCAGACACTAACACCTGGGACATGTCGTCCAAAATGGGGACGTCTGTCTACCATGTTATCGTGCCAACAAACGTTATACAAAAAAATGGCAGTTTAACACCTATATAATTGGTTACTTCTACCAAAAGTTGAACATTTCCACCTCAGTTGCAGCTCACAGTCATGTTATAAAAAATTTAGCAATTTTATTAAAGGGTATTGAATTCAATATAGGTGTTCCTGTATATACCCTATACTCGGATCCCTATGGATTTTAAACCAGGGGAACCAGTTGCTCCTGTCTTGTGAATGCCCAGAGGTCAATCAGACAACATCATTGAACAAACAACATCACAAAGATGCTAAATTAACTCTTCCTGTCTTATTTCTGCTAATTTAGAACCAGCAATTTAATTACACCTGGATGAAGAACATCCGGCAGCAGAACCTCTGTATTGGGTCTCAAAACTCGGGCAGCGGTTTTGCTTTGCTGCCGTGTGACAACACCAAACATGAACTCCGCTGGTTCTACAAAACCTCCCACTCCACTCTTGTAAGTTCTCCATTTTGCTGCCATAGTGACATGATAGATAGGCTTAGAACTTTTTGCATTAATTGTAATTCCTGTTTTGTAATTCCGAAGACGGAGCACCTCATCTCGGAGTTTGTTCCCAACATGTGCCTGGAAGCAGAACCTCAGGATGACTCGGTTCGTCTACGCCCGTGTCAACCCAGCAGCGTCTTCCAAAAGTGGGAGTTCACCCATTACTACGTAAAATGATGAGCTTTAAAATACTCTGTGGAAACAACTAGTGGCACTACAGCCTTGGACTGTAATCCAGCCACCAAAACGTGATGGACTGGAGGAATACAGAAGCAGATTTCTGAAAGATATTTGTATAAATATCAATCAGCTGGTGAGGGGTTGTTTTTTAAAAGAAAAAAAATATTTAAGATACTGAGAGTGTTTTTGTTTTTTAAACTGGGAATAAAATGGAATATCTGTGGATAAGTTCCCATTTTGATGGTTGATAGCATCTCGCATTTAGTTTCTCCATGGACTGAATAAAGAATGAAAAATGTATTGTTTTGCATGTAAAGGAAAAAATGCTGTGGGTTTCAGGGCGTGTTATACTTTATGCTGCTTATATTGGTTTAAATGCTTTATTCTTGGATTATTGATATGATTTGAAAACATTAAATGGTATGATTTCTTAACACTAGAGGGAAGTGTTGGTCCAGGCCCCTAACTAAACCTGTGTGGTTATACAAAGTGTGCCTGTTGAGCTATTTTGGCAAAACTGATAGAAAAGGCAACTTAAAATGAATTAAACCAATAATAAATGTGTTTCTACATTTCTTTATTCTGTTTAGTTCTTAGCCATGGGACAACAGAACCCTAAGAATGACAATATTTAACACTTTATTGAATTTCTACTTTCATCCGAGTTTAAATCAAAGATAAAAAGAGATTTACCTCACAAGCTTTATCTCAAACAAAATCACAAAATAAAACAAACTTGCATTCCTGACCAGATGTAGTTATTTATTTTTATTTATTTTATTTAGTTATTTATATTTAGATTTGCTTTACACAATGTGGGCTTTAATAACCTGTTTTGTTTCTTGAGGATCTTTGTTTATATATTTCAGTAAGTCAACCACACCCTCTATGTAGTGTGTAGCTCACTTATGCACAGATGTTTGACCATTTTTTACTTATGGGATGGGGGGGCACAACTATGTCCAGATTTCAAACATCTAACCCAAACTCTCACATTTACTGGAAGGAAGTTGGTTTGAAGATTCAAGAACCACCACGACTTCAACAAATCATGAATTATTATAAGCCAAAATTAAGGCTACAGTGGGAACCAAGCAAGCATGGTGGTAGTATCCTCATGCCGTGAGCTCAATTCCCCAAATTGTTGGATAATGAGTAAGGAAAACTACCTCCAAAGTCTTTATTTGGCTCAAATCAACAGCTAGATAAAACCTGGCCTCAGCTTGGTGTCCCAGCAGGACAGGAGTCCTATCACAGCAGGTTAGAGGAGGCTAATTCCAACATTTCTCCCTAAGGTGGAGTGCAAATATCCAGCCACATTTATGCAAGAAGCCCCAAAAAGTCTGTAAAAAGAAATGAACAGAAAAATACATTTAAAGCAGATAATGGGACTAAAAACACAAAGCTGCAAAAGAAGTTCTTATTTTAGGGAGTTAAAATGCATATTGCACACAGAATAAAGGGTTTCTAAATTAGTTACAACTTCATATGGTAACTTGAATGAAATACAGGTGAAGTATTTGAGTCTATATATAGTCATAACCACTGGACTGAACATTAAATTCAAACATCCACCAATTTTTTGTATGATGCCATTGGTTGGTAAATGATTCAAATAAATACAATGTTAAATGTGTGCAAACCTGTATACTTAAATACATCATTGAGTAGTTGTATTACAGTTTTTTTTTTTCAAACAATATAGAATTAAATTTTTTTTTTTTTTAAGAATGTAATAGATGCAAGTTTGTAGTTAATATCAGTTGTTTCTGAAACGACTAGGAAATACTTTTTACAGCTGGGATTTTTCTAAGCCTGTAGCTTTAACCCACATGTTTTTAACTCAATGCTCTGGAAGAGCAGGTTCTTTTTTATTCGTAAATAAGAACTCAAACTCCTCTATCCTCTGCCGTGTGTTGCCTCTGCGGATCCTGCGGTAGGAGACGGTGCTGTATTTGGAGGAAGCGAGGTGGTTAAAGGTGCTGGAGTCAGATTTCTTGGGCAGAGGCAGGTTCCAATGACCTTGCCTGAGGTTTTCCAGAGAGTCGGCTTGTTCTTCTCCCATAAACTGCATGTCATTTGATTTCTGGGAGTCAGCTTCAGACGGTCTTTGAGGAAATTCTGCATCCCCGTTCAGCCTGGCATAACCATCATTGTTGAGTAACAGGTGTTGGTTTGAAGTGTCAGCTTCTGTCATTGGTTCCTCTTTCTTAACTTGTTGATCCACTAAAAAAAGGAAAGAATGCATTTACATATGAAAGATATCTAAACATTTTCTTTGTAGACCTTAAACATGTCCTACCATTTGCTGCTACTTTATCTTGCTGCTCAGACTCTCCAGAGGTTTTGACAAATTTTCCAGGAGTCACATCAGACTCTGCAGCTGATTCCTCAGGGTCTGATATGTGCATTCTTTTAGTTTTAAATGCTGCAAGCTTCTGGTTTTCCTCTTCAGTCCAAATTACTTTCTGGGTCATTTCCTTCTCCATTTCCGAATTCTCTTTAAAAATAAAATGTTTCACTCCTGAATTACCCTCCATCTGTTGGTTAATTTCACCATCTGCCTCACTATTAACAGGATATTTGCACCTTTTAGCTCTGGAACCAGTTAAAATGGCAGATTCCTTGTCCTGGTGAATCTGCTCTTCATCACTGTAGAACACAGAGTCATCTCCCATCTCCATTGACCAAACCTCTCTGTCCTCATCTTCCTCTGTCATTTTTGAAGTGTCAGCAGTGCTCCCATTTATAATCTCCAGTATCTTTGTTGCAATGGCATCCTCCTCTTCATCAGCTCTGAGTTTTGACTCAGTTGAAGGAAATATAATTGCCTCCATCTTTTGGTGAATCTTAAGTTAAAGTAAAATGGTCACCTCTTTTCCCGGCGCATTCTCCATCATCAGAGATCAAAGAATCCAGCCAACAATTCAGCTAGGAGGTGAGCACATGGTGCTGTCCAGTGTTTGTACCATGGAGATCTGTTTGTTGACTTACTGAAGAACGGGAGTTTTGTCATGGCCCAACAAAGGTTCATTGTGGTGCTAGCAGCTATATATGGGGCAATTGTTCACATTTTAAATCTCTTCTTTCTGTAAAACCTAAAGTCTGGATTAGTATTTTCCAATATGTTCTGTTATATATCGTTATACTCTCTCAAACAGGACCTTTACTTAATGTATACTTTGTCAAAGCTGCAGTGTTTCTTAAGCTTTTAAGAACAATTGAGCCCTTTTAAGCACTGGATTTATAACTTCCTTACACTAGTCATCCAACAAAGGTTGTTTCCAACATTTGGTTGTAACAGCCACAGAGTTGGTCAGAAGTTTACATGCAATACACGTAAGTGCAAATAATTTATCTTTCATTGTAGAAGCTTTTTTTTCCACCAGTTAGATGTAGCAGAACCAGATCATCCAAAGTGCCAGCCTACACCTGTCAGACGATCGGCAGCTTCCTGAATGACTTGAAGCAGTTGTTAAGGTAAGGGAGGATCTTTTACTATAAAAGAACCATCATTACGAGTATTCCCCAGTGTTTCTCCCACTTCCCCGAGATGTATCCAAAGTCAGAGCCAGTGTCCTGCATGTCTCACTACCAGTTCCCCTCGCCTATTCTTCAATGAAACATTAAACTTTGAATAAACACATTTTTTTGTGGATTTATTTTTCTTCTGGCTGACACCAATAAGCAATGACAAACTTTTTAATTGCTGCTAAATATGACTGTGAACCGGAATGCAACCAGGCTATGGAGGTTTTTGTCATGCTTCACAGCTTTGTAAAAGACAGTTAAACACATAACATCAAAGTGGGGGGAAAAATTAAATGTATACCTATAATCTAACTATCTACAACATCAATATCAGTATTTAAGAGAAACTGTAAGTTCATCCTCAAGCCAAACATGACTAAGCACAGTCCTCAATGAAACCATTGTAAACCCAATTCAGAAAAATCAGCCCCAAATCACGCTTCCTCTAAACTTTCTTTTTTTACCTTTCTCTGAGTCATTTAGGGAATTCTGGTAAACAGATCTAGGGGCTGCAAGTGTTCATAACAATCTAGTGTGTTATCCAATGCATTCCTGTTTACATTGATCAAACGGTATGATTTTGCATTTAAATTCAGATTGTAGGCATGTGACGGTCCACTTTATAAATGTTGCAATAATCATGACATTTTTTTGGCCCATAGAATAGACTGGGATTCTGCCAAAATTCCACTAAAATTTCAGCTATTTTCACCTTTAACCACTTCTGCATACAAATTTCAAAACATTTCCGCACCCTTCTGGTATTAATGATTAACTCATCTTTTTGCTATCTTTTACAGTTTTACTTCATTGAAGCTTTTTTTTTAAAGGATTTTGGTTTTATAATGGAAGTCAGTGACGGAATCTTTATTTGATTTTATTTCTGTATTATTTATGATTTAGCTGTTTGGCTGACTTATTCAGGCACATGAAAATGATGATTCTGAGAAAAGGCCTCAGGTTGAAATCTTTCAAAACAAACAATATTTTTACATCGTCACTGTGGCCACATTTTTCGGTCAAAACATGAAAGTTGGTATACTTGTTCCTCAAAGCTTGCTCATTCTTACAGTCTGAAAATTATTTCTGTATCTATTAGGGTTTTGATTTATTAAACATAGTTCAACAAACACTTTTATCCATTTTTCAAATTTAGCCAATTTCCCTCTTTTTTCACAGAGCATCTTTTCAAAAATATTTTAAACAAAAACAGTCCTAAAGCGTTGTTCCCCAAAATGTCATGAATTAAACTGCCAGAATGGCATCCATACAACTTAATATGCCTGAGTTATAGGCATTTGTTTGGCACAAGATCGTACAGGCGAATATTAGACAGTGGCTGAAACGCCCTTTTTTTTTTTCAAATGGATGCCTCTCCCAAGCTATTTAATGTACAAACCAGAAGCTTGATATAAAACATCTTCAGACCATTCTAGCACTCAAATTAAAGGAATTTTGCCATGCAGCTGGGTTGTATCTATTATAGTATTATTCTTATAGTTTTCTGTCCTTTCGTCTCAGACTATACACGCAAATTAGCTCATAGAGTGTTGTGGCATGTGTTACATTTCTAAACTTAACAGTTTTTTTTTTTATAATTTATAATCAGCCATACTTCTGCCATTTGCTTCACTCTGATTTCTCTATTTTCAACAAGTCCATTAAGCTTTTCTTATTGCTCATTACTAACACTTTATTAAATTTTTTGTTTCCAAGTTTAGCTTAATTCTGTATTAATTTTCTGTCCATATTTTACATTTCTTCAACTTTTCAACAATTAAATCAAACTTCTTATGTAACACTAAGCTGCTCATTCAATACCACATTCTTCAACATTCTAGTCTCTATCCTTAAGGACAAAGGTATATTTATTGATCCTTTTTCTTTTTTGAAACAGAAGAAGAAAAACCCTAAACCATGAGAGGAGCCAGAGGTGGTATAGCCAAGTCAGCCCCATCAGACAAGCAAGGGCAAACAGAGCATGCGGGGTGTGGTGCAGCTGGTGAAGAGGACGACGACGGGAGAGAAACAATCCTATCTGACTTGGCAGGGATCCTTCAGGCCCACATTGGACAGCAGAAAGCTCGAGAGGCACAATAGATCATTGTAGTGTCACCAAACTTGTAGGATACATAGATAACCTCATCAGGATCATATTACAACTCTTACTTTGGGAAAATGTGCCAAACTGTTTTTTTTTTTAGATTTTTTTAATTGTTATTATAAGCACATGATAGCCAATAATTACACAATAGATAATTTTAGTGCCATCAAACTTGTAGCACATATAAATAACCTCCTCTAGTTCATACTACAACTCTTACTTTGTAAAAATGTGTAAAACTCTATTTTTTTTATAGATTTCTTCATTGTTATTATAAGCATATAATAGGCAATAATTACACTATAGATTTTTGTAGTGTCATCAAACTTGTAGCACACATAGATGACCTTATCTAGTTCATACTACAACTCTTACCTTCAGAATATGTGCTAAACTCTATTTTTTTTTTTTTTTAGATTTTTTCATTGTTATTATAAGCAGGCCAGGTGCACAATCTCTGCAACAGGAACTACAGCACTGAGCGTTGTGTGCACTGCACAAAGTATACCTGTTGCAAATGCAAGCAGGACTCACCTTGGGTTTGTGAAAACTGCTAAGTGGGACTATTAGCTTCATATATAGTGCTTTTCCTTGGGTGAAATAAATGTTACTCCAATATTGAAGTAATATTGTTTGTCATTTTCTAAGCTGAAATATTGATTGACATGAAAAGGCAAGACAAGACAAAATACAATTATTTTCTAAATTATTTTCTTTCACATAGTGAGCTTTGCAAAAAAATGAGTCTGTTGGTGAATGGACAATATAAATAGGCCCTGCCTTGCCTTGTTGGAAAAGCATGGTTATGACCTGTTCTCAGCTCAGGAACTAGGACCCGTATGATGTCTGATTGTTCAATAAGTTTGCCTAAATAAAATAATTAGATATGACTTATCAATATATTCCTGCAAAATGGTCTGATTTTGCAGCGGCAGGTAATGAAAAGTGCTTTGAACAAGCTCTTGTTCTGATGCCAGTTTGTTTCAGCTTTTATCTAGTCTCATGTAGAAGGGCTGGTCATGTCAAAGTTTAGTTGCATTACAAAAGGGACAGTTAGCAAGGTAGAGTGAATGCACAAACTTGAAAAGGGGAGGGGGGCTTGTAGGAAAACTGAAATTCTCTGGGAAGTCTAGCGTTAAACCAAAACTTTATTTCTTCAACCACATAAGATTAAAGTTTTTCTTGCTAATTTATTTTCTGATTCAGCTTTTTTATTACATTTCAGCCTATATTTTCAACATTGGCTTAATTCTGCTCTCTTTCTGGACAGGCATTAAGCTTTTCTGTTTGCTGCTAATTCATAACATGTTTCTGCTGTTGGCTTCAGCTTTCTTCTGCTATTTTTCAACAAAGAAATTAAGCATGTATCTTTTCTTCTATTTCATATCATTTCAGCCATTTTCAACTTACAGTTTAGTGTACAGCATTCTCACAGCTGTTTCGCAGGAACAGCAATTTTTCTAATTCAGCTTTGGTTTCTTAGTGTTGGATGTTGAACCTATTTTATACTTCTGCTGGAGCCCACAGCAGCAACATTACGGCACAGAACAGATTGTGCAGGACAGGGCGTCATGCGCAGAACTAAATAAATCATCTTGTTAATTTTAAAACTAATAATTTTCTGTGGTAAGTTGCCCTTACTTTAAGTGTCACTGGTTTTTCAGAAACTCAAAATGCCCCATTTTTATCTGCAACTGCTGCTGTAAACCCCAATATTTATCTTACATACCTGATTAAATTTGCATATTTATTTAGTTTGTTTAATATTTATACTTAGGAATAGCTAGTTTTACTATTTTATTCTTTGACACTGGGCTGCTCTGCAATGGCGTAACGACACTAAAATAGGCCCGTAAGCAACATTATCTGGGTGGGCCCCATATGAAGTAAAACACCACAATCTACGCTCTGGATTACTCATAATTCCAAGTCGTAGTGTAAAAAATAAAATACTCAAATATATAGTTCTTTTAAGAACTTTATGGTAAATGGCCTGTACTTATATAGTGCTTTTTCAAGTCAGGAGACTTTACCAAAGCGCTTTACACTACATTTTGTCATTCACCCATTCACGCACACTCTCACACACTGATGGTGGCAAGCTACATTGTAACCACAGCTCCCCTGGGGCTCACTGACAGAAGCTAGGCTGCCGTACACTGGCCCCACCGGGCCCTTAGACCACCATCAGTAGACAATGAAGGCGAAGTGTCTTGCCCAAGGACACAACAACACTGAAAGTCGGAGCCGGGGCTTGAATCGTCAATCCTCCAATTTCAAGGAAAACTGCTACATCCGACACCACTGTCGTTTGAAACATATATATGAGTGTATTTTCTACCAACCGTCTAATAAACTATACACAGTCATTAACATAGTAATTAAAAGTACCACTGTCTGCTTTGCTATTGGTGTCGTGTTTAAACGGCTCACCATCATGTTGAATCTGCTATGTGTTGGGGTATAAATAAGGTCTGGTCAGTCAAACTAGCATCAGGTGGGTTTAAGAGGAATTTTTCGCACCATTACATCTGCAAAGAGACATCCTAGTTATCAATTGCGTAGGGGGCCAACTAGGTGTCAGTGACGGAGCCCCTAAGAGGTCGGGGGCCCCTAAGCAACTGCAGTCTCTGCTTACCGATAGTTACGCTCTGGAACCAGGAAAACTGATTTTGTTTCATTTATTTTAACATGTTGAAATGACAAATAAAACTCATTGAAACAGGATGTCGAAATGCATAGTGTTTTAATTTCTATCAGTTTAGATTTTGACTGTGTTAATATTCTTCCGTAATGGGAAAACAGGATAGGGAGGAAAAGGCCGAGTCAAACCGAGCTCCTCTTTGGGCCAAACAGCAAGACAGGCAGTGAGGAGAGAGATAGAGGGAGATCAGGTACTAGAAAAGGGAGATACTGCGCTAGAACTGTTTAAAAGTTGGATTTTTAATGGATCATAATTTAAGTATTGTGTAAGATTATAATAGAAATGTGTTGCATTAGGCACCATCATCAACATAGTAGTGTAATAGGGTCTGGGTATCTATTTTAAAAACTAATTTAAATATGTAGCAAATCATTTAAATTAAACTGGAATGTCTTTTGTGACACATTTTTAACCAGTTGTAGAAAGAAGGTTCAAAAGAAATTTGAATCAGGTTTATAATATTCTGAAATGTCTGGCAGGGGAGACAGGAGAGGAGAAAATCACACCGAAGCCTTTTTTTTTTAAGTCAGAATGCTGTTTTTGCTCCTTAAGACTGAAAATGGACAGATTTAAATAATGGAATTAAAAACATCTCTGGGGAGCACACTGTCGAAACAGCCTAGAAGTTCTGACTTTTGACCTCAGTATTTTCTGGGCACTGCTTTTTACCTCTTTGTTTGCTCATTTTCAGTGGAGAAAATGGAAAATGGAAGTTACTCTATGTGCAGGTATTCTTCAAGTACAAAAGCTTAATTCAAGAACATTTTTAATTGACTGAATTTTTTATCTTTGTGTCAAATGGACAATGGGTGACACCAGATTTCTGGTTAGGAGGTGTTGGAGTCAAACACTTGCATCTCTCAATGAGTTGTACTGAATGAGGATCTTTCTGTTATTTATTTGAGTATAGAAAAATACTGCAGTTAGCAGACTTACCAAACCACCAAGGGATAAGATTCTTATCTCTCTTACTGCATCATCATGAAATGTTTTCAAGTGAAACATGACTCAGTTGGGGTTATCATGGTTTCCTGGTGCCCAGTGGCAGTTAGTCTTTTTTTTTATCTCTTCAGCTGCAGCAGGAAACAGCTATGCTGTCTGCTTACGTAGTAGAACTGCCTATTAGCTGCTTTGGTTGGGTAACCAAAATAATTTGCATGCTATGATTGCACAGACATAGTTCACTTTCTTCCTGTTAGGTACATACACTTTATAAAGATTGTGGTACACTGGCTGCATAGCAACAAGATTTATTGATTAAAAGCCTTTTTATACATACATACAATTTTTATTTTGGTGCAGAATATAAAGCACAAATTATTTACAAACTATTGCTTTCATATACAGAACAGTAACGTTTTAGAAAAGCAGTTTCACTGTCTCTGTGGACTGAAACTAAGTTGTATCCTCTAGGCCTCGAGAGTAAATTTGGAAATGGAAAAAATAAGCTAAGTAGTACGCTCATGCCCACATCCTGTTATGATCATGTATATGGTTCACAGATTTGGTTTTGGTTTCAAGCACCTGAAAGTCTTTAAAGTGCTGCTTACCTTTTTTATCCAATTCATTCATTTTGATCAAAACAGCATTGTTTTAAAATACAGAGTATTGCATGAGGAGTTAATGCTGCTCTGTGAGAGTTGCACAGAGAATTCAAGTTAGCAGGATATACGTCCATCTATTATACATTATACTCTCTCTTACATTCTCCAACACATTTTCGTAATGCTTGTGCACTGAGATTTTAGTCCAAAGGTTGAACTCACAGTAGCTCACCATTAGGGCTCAGAATGCGCTGAGTAAACAATGTGTCTTTACTTGAAGTGTGAGGAAACACTTCATCAAAGTGTCTTTATTGCGACAACCATGGACAGCTCTTTATGTCAAACTGGCACAAGGAGCTCATGAGGAACAGTTTAAGTGGTTCCCATCTCTTCCTCTTCGACTGATCGTTGAAGTCCAGGAATTAACTTAAAGATCTGTTTGCGCACACTGGCTCTCCTGCCTTTCCTGGGAAGAGTCCCAAACAAGGATGAGATCCTTGTTTCATCCCAGGACGGAGACAAAGAGGTGCTGCTGCCAGCCAGACTGGAGCTGCTGGAGCGGCTGACGGCCTTGTGCTTGAGGCTGGAGCCCGAAGACATTCTTCTTGGCCCGTCATGCATGGGGAAGTCTTTTGAGAAGAAGCAACCATCATCTGTGGTGCTGGCTGCGCTGTATGGACTGGGCGAGTTCGGATCACCAAACACACTGGCCAGGTCACTGTCGTCTGTCATCCCACTCCTGTAACTGCTATCGCTGGAAAAACGGCGACCCCTGGGGGAGCCCAGAACAGCTGATGCGTCCATCAGGAGATTGAGGCTGCTGTCATTTAAATTATCTGAAAATACAGTAGAATTTCTGTCACACTAATGCCCAATTACCGAGAAATACTGTATGCAACAGGAAGTTGGACAAATGTATATTATGCATTTCTCAGGGGAACACCTATATCTAATTGATCTGTAGTTGACACCCTACAGTAATTCGCATCACAGAGCTGCTTAGGAGAAATGATAGAGGCAGTGAGAAAGGAAGTGCTGTGGTCTGACAGCTGAGCTCTCACCTCGCATCAGACCTTTTTCCTGTAATGTGAGCGCTTGAAGCTCCTTCAACTTCTCACGCAAAGACTGCTGCATGGGCAGAAAAAAAACACACGGTTAAATTCTTCTTATATGTGTCAGGACATTTATAAACTCAGAATGACCCATTTGACTAATAGAGAATTTTTTTGAATCAGAAAACTGAGCTGCAGGTTGAGCCACAGCAAAGTGTGTGGTTCAAAAACAGAGTGGACATTTTTAGCTTGCAGCTGTAATGTTTTGACACCAAACATGGACAGTTTATATTTTGAGGGTGTAATGCAAAGAACAACTGATCTGACTAATCACATAGTTCACTGTTACCAAGTCTTGCAGGAATTTCTAGATTTAGCAATAAAAGACCATTTATTACATAGTAACTATTGACTCTTCAGAATATCAATATTTTCATGTTATCCTTACATTTTGTATAAATACTTAGCCATTCAAGCCTCATTTCTCATGACTCATCTCCAATTTAGGAAAAAAGTAAACTTTAAAACAAATCAACAATTATCAATGATAAAATAAATTTAAACATTAAATAAGTCTATATATATCTTTAGTAAGAAAATGTCTTTTTGTTCCGTAGAAGTACTACTTTAGTGTTAAAAAAGCTCTAATCAGGAAACAGTTTGATCTACTCGGCCGGATTGTTTACATTCTTTCTTTTCTCTTTTCTGAAGAAGGAAGTTTAAATCAATCAGAAAATCTTATCTCTCTTCGGTCGTCTAGAATGACAAAATAATGCTGACCAAAGTTGGCATCTGAGACATGAAAAGAAGTAGAACCAAGGAAGGTTTGTTCAAGAAGCCAGTGGAAGTTGATGAGAACCAATAGTTAAAATATTTTTTTATGATTTTTTTACTTTCATCTTGTTCTTATGTACTTTAGGCATATCATTTGGTTGTGAATTCAGAGTAACCTACAAGCTAGAACCACAGCTTTTATGCCAGGATTTCCCTGTCAGCCAAGCAGAGAACAGGACTGTGGTGTCTGGTGGAACTGATGTTCAAATATGTTATTTGAGTGAGTGAAAAACCCAGTTATGGACAATAAACTTGGAATCTTTTTTTTTCTTTTATATTGTTCAGTTATTGGACTGTCAGTCTGGACAATAAAATCCAGGCTGCACACTGTTATTGGCAGAGAGTCATAGAGAAAGTCATGCTGAGTTCAAAGACGGCTGACAATAGAGCCTCTCCATCAAGACACTAATATATAATATAGGCATAAGCTTCTATGAAAATGTTTTGGAAATTAAATTTCTTATCCATTCTCTTTTATTTGTAGAAATTGTTAGAGGCTTGGATTAGCTTAGCATATTTGTTCTTTGAATTTGTTTGCTTTTATTGAGTAACAGTAAAAACCAGGGCTTTGTGAGATTAGTGGTTACATAAGTCCAGTTAATGACCAGTTCCTGGTGTGCCTTTTTTGTAAGAAGATGCAAATGAAGTGTGAAAAGTTTGCTTTTATATACATATTTTAAATCATGTGAAAAAAACTGTGTAACCTTTAAATATCAGAGTGCAAATATTCCATCCTTCTGCAGGGTTTTTGAGAGATTATGAGGCTATGTCACTTTCAATCTAGAAATACTACAGGAACGAACCTGGAGCTGGTTGCGTTTCTTCTCCAGCTCGATCTTCTTGACGACGTTACCACACACAGTCTCCAACCTGAAACCAAACAAAATCCTGTTACAAAATCATGATGATTTTTTTTATTTATTTTGCTGTTGCCCAGAAAAGAATCACTTACTTTAGGGTGTTGGTTGATTCTATGATAAGATTCAGAATGTGTTGATGAGACAATCCTTCTATGCTGACCGAGTTGATAGTGACAATAACATCCCCTATGACAACAAAAAATAAAAACAGCTTAGAGAAGATGCATACCACCCACCATACCATGCTCAGCTTACATGTGGTAAGTGATATTTCCATTGATATTTAGGTAAGACTCTTGATGTGTGCATGAGACCATGTGCAGGGTCTATAGGTTCGCAAGGAAGTGGGTGGATTACCTGCGGTCAAGCCAGCACTTTCAGCCACGCTGTCTTCCTTCACCTTGCAAACAAAGGTGCACATCTCCACTTCAGATGTACTGTTTAGCTGCACACCGTATGTCTGCAAAACAGATGCAGTATATACTGAGACAAAAGCCTGACTGCAAATTACCTCTAAGCTTAATATTTGAAATGCATAATACAGAACGTTAATCAAATATAAAATTACATACCTGTATGTCAAAACCAAATGTCTCATTGTCCTGTTTTTCCAACACAACACTAGTTCTGCATAGATGATAAATGCAAAAACCATTAATTTCAGACATATTGTTTTTTTTGTTTTGTTTTTTGTTTTTTACAGATCTTAAATAACTGTAAATCAAAGTTGGATTTAATTTTTAAATGCACATTAGGTATATTCACCTTTGTGGGTCTGCATAATCAACCAAGGAGTTGCTGTGGGTTAGTTTAGGCTGCAAAGGGAGAATGCAAAGTTTCCCTTTAAAATATTTTAAAAGCTTTAAACTTAAAATAAATAAATAAACAAATAGCTCTTATTCAGATGACAATATTTACACAATGCATGCATGTAAAAAGTAATAAAAATCCTAAATTATTTTAGTTTTTCAGCTAAAACAATCTAGTTTTTGTCACCTTGTTATAAACATTTAGTTAAACATATTTTAAAGAAACTTTTAGCACTACTTGATAAGCATACAGCATGTCAGGCTTTACAGATGTTAACAGCAAACAAAATGCACTTTAGCATTTGTCTCACCTTGTAACCTCTGGGAAGGGAGCCAGTGCTCGATCGTTGTCGGTCACTGTTCCCCCTCAGTGAGCGTCGGTACCACAGAGCAGCTTTCTTCTTGAGAGTGTTATCCAGATTGCAGTTCTCCTGGCTGTTTTGCCTCAGATGTCCATTGACATTCATGGTGGACTGCATGGTGGATTAGTTCTCAAAACACCATAGCGTCCTCCTGCAGAGGCAGTTTAATTGTGTGGCTCAGCCCTGCTCGTGTAGCAGAAAGCATTATGTGTCAAAGAGGAAATCTGTGTCATGTGACGTTGTGGTGGACCTGCATCTGCAGATCTCAGACTCACGTACCGTCTTTCCTGTTAAGCTCTTAAAAAAAAATCTCTGTTTCTTGAGAAGAGCATTGAGAAGAAAAGGAGGAAAAATGCTGAAGCTGTTGTGTATAAATCCCCTTCAAATATTCCCCTGTACATCTTTTGTATTAGCAATGAGATTTATGGTCTATCGGAAATCAGCAATGCATAAGAATTTGCTACCTCACAGCTGATGAAGCATCTGCTTTGACCTCTTTCACTCTCAGCTTCTCAATTAAATTAAGCCAAAGTCCTCTGCTCTGCAAAGCAGGGGGTCTTGACTAAAGTCCCCCTGGGTTGGTTTAACACTTGTGAGACAGACAGCATTGGTCACTGGGCTGGATCAGAAGAAAGATCACACAGTGGGGCAGGCAAAAAGTCAGGAGGACAAAGACTGATGTGAAGCTAAAGCCTGGTGCACTTTGTCCCACAGCAACACTCATTTCAATCTGAAAAACTCACACAAAGAAGACAATTAGGAGAAATTTATTGATAGAATTACTTTGTCTTTGGTGCTCAGACCTCAGCAGGAAACATAGCACTCAATTTTGATAGCTATGCATTAACAGGAGCAAATAATAGGGCTGTTTCCCCCCAGGCCTGAAACTGGTGGTGGAATGGAGATAGATGAAGTCATAGTCATAGAAGTCATTGAAGTCAGATAGATGGTCAGTCTGTAGACTGCTGGTTAGCGACACGGTATGCTGAGCTCTAAGGGGAGATCCAGTGAATTGCATGAGCTGATTCTAGAGCTTCACTCAGGGACCTGGAAGATGGAAGTCCAATTGGATAACACAGGTTGAGAGAACCTGTCCATGATGAGCAAGCATGCAGCGAAAGTGGAGAGGAAAACCTCCCCGTTGGGAAGAAACCTCTGGTAGAACCAGGCACAACCATGGCGGTCTTCTGCCGGACTGGTTAAGATGAGACAAGGAACGCAGTAAGAGTCCGCGAGGAATGACACTGATGAAGCTTTAGCTACGATGGGGGAGGAGGGGCTGGAGGTGGGTTGAAACGTTGTCATCTAAATGAAGTCAGACAGCACATCCGCCGCCTGCCCACAGGAGCAGACAGGTGCGTATCGGAGGCCTTTTAAGATGAGTTTTGGATTCCGATTGGCTTTCGCTGAGGTGTGGTTCAAAGTTGATTGCTGTGTCACAGGTGGATGTATGAAAAAACAAGGAGTTTCTTCAGTTGAATTTTCACCTACTGTAGGCTCCATATTAACAAACACCAGAACCCAACCTGAACCTGTTACCACTGCCTTGCAAAAATAATCACACCTCATGAGGCTTTTAGCACTTTATCATATTAGAGGCACAAACTTAACCTCTAATATGTATTTGACTTGTATGTGATCGAGTGACACATGGTATTGATAGTGATAGGGAGAGTAAAATATGGTTTTATAATAACTTCAAATATAAAAACATTTAAAAAGTATAGAGTTTACACCAAAGACTTTTAAGATTTCCATTCATAAATAATGGATCTTTATTGTTTATTATGAACCTATAATGAAATTTTCTTTAGACAAATCTTGAGACATTATAAATGTCCCAACGTTTGAGTATCTCACAGAGTACTGGCCAGTCTGTCATCTGGTGTTCAGCACAACTGCAAATCTACCAAGTCATGGCTTTCTACTTAAATCAGATGGCCAAGTAAGTAGACCATCATTTGGAGATCAATTTTAATTTTGAAGAATCTGTAGAGATCTCTTTCCTGAGCTGTGGATCTCTCTTTAAGCCTTCCTTTAGGTTTCCATTGAGAAATTGGCTGTGAGAAATATCCCAGCAGTCCTATAAATCTTCACCTAAGGGGCCAGTCAAGACACCAGAGTTTAAAATCTGCATGTATTCAGCATTTGGTGGTCAAATAAGAATACATAGAGGAATCCATATTACTATATCAACTTTGACTACAATATTAGCCATTAAAATTGTAACATTTTACTCATTTGTTACAAGTCTATCAATCATTTTAAATGCTTATTACCGTACTCTGTATATCTTAAATTTGTCATGATCTGCCCTGATAGCTCACCCAAATTACTCATGCCTTTCACTTGCTTAACTCTCTTCAGCTCCCAATTATTACTCATCTCATCCAGTTTCCTTATATTGGGTTCCAACTATCATGGGCAGATCATTGTTTGTTTGCAGTTTGATTTCTGTTTCTCTGGTCAGTTGGTTTTGTTAATTTTTGTCAGTTCCAAGCAATGGCGTAAATATCGATAAGCAGAGACTACAGTTGCCTAGGGGCCCCCGACCTCTTAGGGGCCCCGTCACTGACTCCAGGTAGGCCCTCTACACAATTGATAACTAGGACGTCTCTTTGCAGATGTAATGGTATGAAAAATTCCGCTCAAACCCACCTGATACTAGTTTGACTGACCGGACCTTATTTATACCTCAACACATGGCAGATTTCAACATGATGGTGAGCTGTTTAAACACAACACCAATACCAAAGCAGACAGTGGTACTTTTAATTATTATGTTAAAAACTATGTATAGTTCATTAGACGGTTGGTAAAAAATTGGTTGGATGGGGTGTTGTACTTCGTATGGGGCCCACCCAGATAATATACGTTTCTGTCAGAGCTGGATGCTCGACGGCAGGGGAATCTGAACCTACCTTTGCACTCTGATTGATTCCTGAAACCCGGATCTGTCTGTTCCCAAGTGGACATTACTGTTACCAGAATAAGTGATGGGTTGCACTCCCCACCTGCAGTCGCAGCGCCCGCAGTACCACAGTAGCGTGTTTCTGTTCTGTTCTGTTATGTTTGTGTTAATGAACGTTTTAAACTTTCCTACTAGCTGTCTCATCTTGAATACTGGGTCCATCTGTCCCTGTTTCATGACAAAATAGAAAAATATTTGCTTGGGAAAATGAATTTTCTTTCAGTTGTGCATTTTGATTACAAAATGGTGATGTGTATGCCAATGGGGATGTGTATGCCAATCCCAGAATATGCTGGCCAAAAACAGTGCGACAGCCATGCAATGGACAACACAAAACTGACCATTATGCAACACATTAAAACAACAGCCATAACGTCATTTCAGTTCTCTACCCAGCCATGTAGGGGCAACAGCGATGGGAGAAGGTGTTCTGGTCTGCTTTCCTGCAAAATGCAATGTGTGTTTATTAATCACAAAGCACCATCCCCATTATCAGAAATGGTTGTGAGAGGATTATGTTTTGGGACTATTTTTATGGATACATGCAGCTAGATGCAGTCATGAAGAATACCTGTTTCAGGCGGCATAGTAATCAGGACTTGGCCAAGGGTTAATCTTCTTGCAGCCCAACAACCCTTACGAATGGCCAGAGCTACGATGTAAGTGTTTACATCAAACAAATGTAAAAACAAACGTAATGTGCTGGAGTTGATTGCAAATGTGTGGAACAACCTTAGCTTTGTTTTGTTTTTCTTTAGTTTCAGGTTTATGCACTACTTTCTGTTGGTAAATCTAATAAAACACTTTTGGTTGAAAAGAGGCGAATGTGAGAAAAGTTTAAATTGAGATGTATTAATCCTCACTCAGTGTCTCAGTAACCGGTGAACACTTTTAACTAAATACAAGCAAATAATAGATTCCCTAACTAAGAGATTGCATCACAGCAATCCACTCTGGCCCACTGATCCTTAACAACACTGACCAGCTACACTCAAGACTTTCAGAGGACACTCTAAATCCCCAACAACATTACAATAATATGCGTTGATTTCACCTTTCTGCTTTTTTTTTTACATCTCAAACCATGCCATTTGCTAGTATATAAAACAAAAGAATCATAGGCTCATTCATTGGTATTTATAAGGGTATTTTACATCTGGCTGTCCTCATATCTGCCCAGAGGTGGGTAGTGACTAGTTACTCTTACACAGTTTACATTTACTTGAGTAACAAAACAAAAAAAATATTTTTCTTAGTAGTTTTTAATGTGCCGTATCTCTTACTTTTACTTGAGTAATATTCCTCTAAAGTATCACTAACCGTACTTGAGTAAAATCTCTGATTACTCCATCCTCTGTGAATAATTTGAACTATTTCAAGATCAGATAAACATACAGTAAACAGATATTATCGGTGGAAGTCATTTATCCTGGAATACATACAGCTCTCACTGTAAAGGTTGGTTTCCTAAGTTTTATGTGGGAAACATTGTTTTTGGTAAAGGTATTTCCTCTGCCTATATTTGTTCTTACATAATTATGATATTTATTTGTATTCTTTATATATTTAAGTCTTTTAAATACCGGATCATGCACTTAAAGTCGATCTGCATCATTTCTAAACATTGAATTAGATGTTAGAATCCAAACAATTACTCTGTACTCAAGTAGACTTTTCACCAAATACTTTTTTTTACTTTTACTTGAGTAAAAAAATTGAAGTAGTGGTACTATTGAGTAAAATTGTGTGGTACTGTAATCATCTCTGTATCTGCATGAAAATATTAAACCTAAAACAACCGGACTGAATTCTTTATCCTCAAAAGAAACAGTGCAACTGTCTGCACCAACTGTCTGCATTGAAATAGGTAAAGTAGCATTTCAGTATTCTACCCCCACAACATAGAACAATTTAAAAAAAGATTGGAAGTTAAGGGAACTGGTTTCAATAGGCCAGTTTAAACTCTTGCGCAAAGGTTTGTGAAATGAATCTATGGTTTTAGTTAAAGCTTTTAAATAGTCCTATGAAATCTTATGTAATGTGTTGAATTGCTGGGATATATGCCGCTGTCCCTGACTCCCTTGAAAAAGACAGTACTCTCATTAGGACTTTTGAAGTTAATTACTATGGTAAATTAACTATTAAATAATATTACAGCCTACTGAATATAGCCGTATTAGTAGATTGTATAAAATCTGGATAAGAAAGCCACAAGTTAATCGTTTATAAGAATTGTTGTATATAAGTGTGAATA